AAAAAAAAAAAAAAAACCTACCAGAACTCCTAATCATTTTCTACATAACCATGTGCACTAAGGAAACGGCAAACTACTCTTTTGCATTCTCCTGAAAAAGGTCTCATAACTGAAAAATAAATTTCATTAGGTTAAATGCAAACTTTGTCTCCTAACTTTAAGACTTTGCACAATTTTGGTTTCTTAATTTTTTTTATTTCCTTAACTATGAAATATGTATGTTTTTAGTCATTTCATTAGTTAATTTGTTAAATTTATTTATATATACATATTTTTAGTCCCCAAATTTTAAGATTTTTCACAACTTTTGTCCCTTAATTTAAAAGTTTAGGGATAAAAAATGTGTATATATAGACATACTTAATATATTAATTGATAAAAAGACTAAAAAAAATCTATTTTCATGCACGGACCATATTCTTCTCCAATATGAGTTTTGTTTATGTCTCGAATGAATTCAAGAACATATTTGAAGAAATTTTGACCGTCGGTTGGAATGGTTTATGGATTCCGAACTGCAATAACGGTGAAACCTCATAAGATAGCAATTACAACCCAAGAAGTAATACAGACTTGGGCATGGACTTGGAAAGCTTTGATTTGCTGATGTAAATGTTGGCTGACTTCCACACCAGAGATATGGTATAATCCATTTAGTGTGTTGATAGAACATGATATAATATTCATATTACTCTCTGACAAAAATAGAGGCAAAACAAAATCAACTTGAATTTGAGACAATTATTTGAAATCTCAGTGAAAGACTAGATTTGTTATCTCATACTTGCTTTTCGTGAAAAAATACCAATTGAAGTGGAGGGTTTCTTCAAACAACAAGGAGCTGGGTCAACTACTCAATCAAATGATATTGAGCATGTTTCCCATCCCTTCTCGAGAAGGAAGCGAGCTATTTCTTTGCAAAATTGTGCTCAATTTCATTAGAGCCATTATTCATAAAATATATCTAGATAAAACAAGTATCATCATCAATAAAAAACATAAAATACTCAGAACCCCCATGATGGACGTAAGAAATAGACCTCAAGTGTCAAAATGCACAAGATCAAAAGGAGTAACAGAAAGAAAATGACTGCTTGAAAGTGATCAAAAGCCATAATGATTGAAGATTATAACTAAGTTTTGAAATTGATAGAACATTTGGTAAAGTCAATGACTTTATAAAAATATTGTCACTATGACTAACATTCATAACTGAGCTATTATTCTAACAACTGACAATGTAGTTGGCGATGTGTCTATCAGTCTACGTCAAACCTCGTGACCATCCACCTACTAGGATTTTAGCCTTTTTCCCATTTGTCCATCTGATGTATATATTTGGCAAAAACCTATTTTTAGCCTCTCACCTTATCAAGTTTGAAGATGTTAGCTCCTCATCTATTAAAATTGAAGAAAATATCCCTCACTTTATACTGATTGTTAATTATGTTAGTTGAAAGTAGATTTTTATCAACTAATAGTCAACTAATAGTTAATTACATAATTAACAAAATATTATAAAATTAGTTCTGTTAGTTGAAAGAAGGTTTTTAATAGTTAACAATGAACTAATAGTCAGTTAATAGAATTAACAGTCAGCTAACAGAACTAACAAAATGTTACAAAGTGAGGGCTATTTTCTTTAATTTTAATAAGTGCGGGACTAAAAGTGCTATAATATAAGGTGAGAGGCTAAAAATGTCATAATATAAAGTGAATGGCTAAAACCTTCAAACTTAACAATGTGAGGGGTTAAAAGTAGGTTTTTACCTATATATTTTTACCTAACATGTTAGGATTGATATTTTATTTATACTTAAAAGAATAATATGGGCTTATAAATTTTT